AGGGAGGGAGGGAGGGAGGGAGGGAGGGAGGGAGGGAGAACAGTAGGGGTGGAGGCCGTGGCAAGGAAAAGGATTTCGGGGGGGAGGAGGGTCTTTGGTGGGGTGCCAGGAGGGGGTAGCGGGAAATCGAGGAGGGAGAGGAGAGAGAGAGAAGGAACTTGTGTGCGTTGAAGAGAATAACGAGGGCCTCTAACAATGTTAAGGGAAGGAGTTGAGAGTTGTGAAGCAGATTGTGATGGAGGTCAGTATGATGATATGATCACGTCGTAGTTGCACTGTTGTACTGGCGAGAGAGAAGCTGCTGTCACAATGAATGGATGGAATAAGAGCGTCTGACCAGGAGGTAATGAGGAGATGCTGTGGGATGAGGTGAAGATGGAAGTAAAACTCCTCTAATCACAACATGGTCACAAACAGCTCGCACGGTCCCAACTGGACTGAACGGACTGGAACTGAAACGACCCGACCTCCACGACTAGGTTTTAATCATTATCTAAGAGCCTTCGAGATCTAGTTCCTCCCCCCGTCAGATTTACATGCTGTGTCGCATGGACTGCTTGATGTCACGGGACATCTGGGCAGTGCCTGTCATCGTCGAGCATCAGCAACCATGTCCGACATAAGCTTGCAGAGCACTCACTCTTGTACCAGTAGCCTGGCTTGTGGGTGAAGAGGGGCTGACCGCACTGTAGCGCAAAAAAAAGTCACAAAGATGCATCAGAACAAGCTCATTGTTAAACAAACCGAGTCGCCAGTCAATCCACAATCCTGTAATGAACTCAGTCAGATATGCACCAGCGAAAGTTGAGTCTGCAACAGTGTATGAACTATTTTGGTGTGGATCTAAATACAGTATTGAAACTATGCTTCACTCATCACACGACAATCGTTTCACAAGCATGACATCCCCACATCGATTGCAGGGAATCATAATGTGAAACAACTGGAATCGACTGTCATAAAGACGTTTGTCCGCATCAACATTGTTTCCTCCACACAAGATCATTCAAGAAGAATACATATGCGCACAATACACAATCAGATCCACGAGATAACTGGAATGAAGAAACAACTGAAATGGTCAGCGACACAGCTTATTTTTGTTCATATCAAAGCAGCTTCAAGCAAATCAAGACAGGCTTCAACAGCCAAATACCCAAGTTGGATGATCATTGCGATCCAATGTTTTGAAATACCATGTCAAACTATCTCACGATGAATCCTGTGCCCACTTCAAGCTGTACGATAGCCTAACAGGTTGAGCCACAACAACATACGCTCGACCAGATCGAACACTCATCATCAGCTGTGATCACCAACAACTCAAGTTTATCTTTCCCCCATGATCTCATTGCTGCGCTCCCTGTCTACTGTTTTCCCACCTGAACGCCGAAGGCATCGAGCTTGGTGAACATGCGGGAGCCGAACATGGTGATCGCGAATAGACGCGTCTGTTCGAGAGCGGTTACCAACTGTAACCGTGATGGTCTTAGTTCGATAGGACCCTTTCGTAAGAAAATTTGCTTATCTGCGCCTATACCTTTTAACCCTACCATTTCCCACAAGAATACAGTATCAAGTACCGGTGATACATCACACCGGTTTGAATCTGGTAAATGGGATGGGTGGATATCAATGGGACACCTGGCCGAAGGGCTTTGAGGGAGGGGTTTGAAATCCAAAGAGGACCGGTAGGATCGGACTGGAGGGGTACTACTACCTGGTAAAAACATGAGGTAGAAGGGGGTATGTCGACTCAGCGACTTACAGGGTACCTCGTCCTCCCGATTCCGATCACAGGGGTCATTACAAACTTGAGGGACAATTTTGAAATTATACCATTTAAAAATATGAGGAAATTTGAAATATACACTGGGGAAGGGAAAGGGTGAAGGGTCGCGGGGGGAAGTCGAAGGGGCAGACAAGGGGTATAAAATCGGAAGAGGAAGCGGCAAGTGGCACAGGACAGGTCAGAACCATTTCTGCTCATCCTTGCACATGTGTACGATTGTATGAGAAAGGCCGAGTTTGATGAACCTTTGTTTAATGCATGTTCTTGGAACTGTCGTTCTTTCTTGTATGTCATCTTATTCCGCGGTTTCCTGACTTCGATGCAGCAATGATCCAGAAGCTCTTCGATCTTGAGGACTACGCCGGTACCTACCGCGAGACCCGCAACGCCTACCTCAAGGCTGCCAACCAGCTCAAGCTCGCCACCGGCCCCTACAAGGCCGCTCGTGATGCCTACGTTGCTGCCACTGCCACCTACACCAAGTCCCTCTACGAGTAAATGTGTTGCTCTGTTCAGTTGCTTCGTTTTCCAAGCGAAGATTCTTGCTCAGATGTTTAATAAACGCATTCTCTAGATGAAGACTTATCTATTCCTCATTTACTTAGATGAGATATTCACACGAATCCCCAAGTGCATGGCTCGTGAAACACATGTTGGTGCAGGTTCAAACATGGATGTGCAGTATATTCTTAGTGTGTTACAAAACATTTATTGTCAAGTTATACTTGAAATCATGCTACGGGCTTCTTTCCAGTCTGGATCAATATCTATACACAGCTTGAGGGCTGAGATCGCCTTCTCAGGATCTTCCATCTTCATATACAACTTCGCGAGGTTGAGCAAAACTCCCTTGTAACTCGGTGGCCAATCCCTTACGTCAAGCTTCCCGAGGCCCTCTTCCACGACCCTCTGACACTCTGCTACTGCCTCGTGCTCAGCAGAGGTCCAGTGAAGGTTAGCCAGGACACACCATGCTGTGAGAGCGTGAGGATTGTACTTCACGCACAGTCTGTACAGCTGGATGGCTTCTGACATCTGTCCTCTTCTCAACGCATTGCTGGCACGCTGCTCGAATCGCAAGCTGTGGTCGATGAACTTCGTGGAGCAGAAGAACATAGCCAGCACGTAGCGCACGCCCCCCTGCACAGGATGCCCAGCATGCCACACTGACCCTGCATGCGCAAGCCCATGGCCAAGCTTGACACGCACAGAATCTTTCAGGCCTTCGATCCAAGTCCCCCCCTCCTTGATAGTTGACAGGGTCATTGAGGCTGACTGTCAGGGTCAGGAAGCTGAAGTCTTGGTGTACAGGAGTGAGGATGGGAGAGCCGCTGCTGTTGTACTTCAAAACTGTCGCCTGGTAGAGCCTCAGGTGCTGGGCTCTAGCCTCAGGCACATCCGGAAACGCCGTCTCAAGCAGAGGATAGACCCTGGTAGCAAGGACGTTCCCGAGGAAGGCGGTACTGCGAGGAAGCTTCTCAACTGGCGTTCGATGAGGCATGAATTGCTCGTTCTCCTTCGACGCATACGGAAACCCTTGTGTCCATGCTGCTACCTGCTCTGCCTCTTCAATGACCTGTGAACATTCACTAGCGCTGAAGAGCGGTGTTTCGGACATTGCTACGTAAGTCTCTTTTGGCGATTGCTGCTTGAGCAAAACACCCTCAAACGATTTGAAGTCCCATTTGGTAGGGATACCACACCTCTCATTGAGTGGCACTACCTTGCGAAAGTCGCACCATGGCCTTGAATTGCATTCCTGCCTGTGCTCTGCCACGTTTTCTCGGATGAACTCCTCCTCAACTTGTAAGTATCGGAGAGTGTTCACCTGCTGTTCCAAGCCAAGGAAAGCTTTCAAATTGGTAGGATCCATTCCTTGCAACACATTGATCCCTCGAGCTGTGCCACTCATTTCCATCCTCACACGTGCATGGCGACTGCGGCACATCAGGCGGGATGAAAGATGCACTCTTGCGGATGGTGGGGATGATGGGTGCTGGAGGAGGAAGGCAGGGTGAGCAGTTGGTCGATGACGATGAGCAGGCTCCTGCCATTCGTGGTCTGCCAACCAGTCCGGTTGCGCCATGGTCAGGATCGCCGCGATCGATGCCAACTTGGGGAGCATAGTCGGGGAGATTGGGGAGGAAGGACCACCCCTCTTAATAAGGGGGTGGTGGATGGTAAATGTAAGGGTGGGAATGTATGTGGGGTGGATGTTCTCTGACGCTGGTTGTTGAGTAAAACAATTAAAAACTACTTTTAAACACAACTGGATCCCGAGGCGGACCCGGCAGGGCAACTGAGTAGCTACCGTACCCTACTGGCAAGTGCGGCTGTTGGGACTGCCCTAGGTACTGATGGGTAGCAATGGTAGGGAGGAGAGGAGGAGAGGAGGGGAAGGGGATGGACATGGAGACAGCACTAGCAGTTCAGCCTGTGGTAGCCTACCATGAACCATGGAGAGGAGAACAACTATGGTTGCAGAAACTCAAAACAACTAAAGAGACGGAAAGGCAGGAAGACAGGCAGGAAGACAGGCAGGCCGGGCAGGCAGGCAGGCAGAGAGGAAGACCAAGCAAAGGTGATACGCGCAAGACGAGAGGAGGATGGTGGTGAGATAAAAGACTCCGATCGCGGGGAGGAGTCTGTCAGGTTGGACCAACAATGCTGCAAGGACCTGACGGTGGTGTCTCTCAACAGCAGGAGATCGTCATTTCGTAATGTACTTTCTCTCGTGATGCGAGGACGGAGATAGCAAGCTTTCATAAATCGTCAGCCCCGCCATGGCGAACTTTTCAGGCAAGGTCGTCGTCAACGCCATTATCCTACTCAGTTTCCTCCTGCTGGTGGATCTTCTCTTCATCCTCGCATCCATGGCCCTCGCAGCGTCGCAGTGGAGCTCCCTGGCGCTGCCAGACATGGTCGTGTGGTGAGTGTGAGGGGGAGGGAGGAGAGAGCTGAGACGATGGGCAGGTCGAGCTACTCGGGCATCGGAATGGTCGGGGGGATCATCCTGTTGATTGCTGTCTTAGTCTTCATTGAGAGGCGTAGATATTGAACAAACGAGGAAGAGGAGCTTGCTAGAGGTGCTGGAGGGATCAGAAGGGAGGAGAAGCTTGCTAGAGGAGCTGGAAGGAAGGGAGGAGAAGCTTGCTAGAGGGACTACGCGTAGAGAGCTAGGTTCATCTTGGCATCGCAGGATTTTAGCAGGGGATCCTGTTGAGCCTAAAAGTCAGAGACAGGCGACGAGAATGGAGGAGAGGGAGGAGACGGTGCTCTAGAGTGCTGAGAAGTCACGGAGGAGGGAGGAAGATGGGGAGAGGAGGAGGAGGTGTGCCGAAGAAACCTGCTTGCCTCTCCTGCGATAGATGTCGGTGGGATTTTCATTCAACCACTGATGTGAGTCGGGGAGATCAAAACCTGAAGGAGGGTGCGGTCAGCCTAAAAGTCTGCTTCTGCTCCTCCTGCTGCTCTTGCTCCTCCTCCTCCTCCTCCTCCTCCTCCTCCTTCTCCTATACAACTGCTGCTTACCGAGTCCTTCCAAGTTGTCTTGGGCTTTCTCTTGCCTCCCTCGCTGTTGGCTCGCGTCTCCCTACCGACTTCACTCAGCCGCACAGTCAACCCCCGGAACCTCCTCCCACCCTCGAATTCCAAGTCATCTCGTCAAAGGTCTCTTGAGAGAAATCCCGTGGGGGAAGCGGGCTGCTAGCGATCGTGTCGAAGAAAAACTGAACGAGGCGTTAGAGTTTCAGTTTGAAAGTAGAGGAGAGGAGTAGAGGAGAGCGGGAGAGGAGGAGAAGAGAGAAAGAAGTGGGGGAAGCGGCAAAGAAAGGAAAGGGAGTAGAGGAGGAAGAGAGGAGGCAAAGGAGGAGGAGGAGGAGAGAGGCAGAGGGGAACAGTGCTTGCCTGGTTGAGGTCGAGATGAGTGAGTCGTTTGTGGAACGATCCTCCCGGTGACCACGCGCTTCCTGCGACTGGAAGTGATGAACGAGGTCTCTATCTTCTCCTCCTCCCGACCTGTCAACTTGGCGTTGTTGTGCACTAGCAACGCAAGATGCCTCACGCAGTTGTCAAGCACCAGCTCAACCTCACACTGTGGTGAAAGTCTCAGCCGAGCTTTCCTCTTCTCAGCCGTCGGTCACCTGATCGCGGATCTGCGACAAGTTGGTCCAGGTTTGCCTCTCCCCTTGCAGCATGCTCTCTGCCTGCCCAACAAAGTCTGTACCCCACCATGAAAGGGAACGTAAAACCATCGCAGAGTCGGTCGGCGTCCACCAGTATCCCTTGAAGGTCTCCAGGCTGACTGGAGGGGCGATGGTGACGTCGCCAACGTATTTCTGAAAGGCAATTTAAAAGGAGGAGGAGGAGGAGGAGGAGGAGGAGGAGGAGGAGGAGGAGGAGGAGGAGGAGCAAGAGGAGGAGGAGGAGGAGGAGGAGGAGGAGGAGGAGGATGAGGATGGATCAGAAACCTGCTCAATGGTCTGCTTCAGGAGCTTCGGGGCGATTCCCAGAGAGATCGCCTAAGTGAAGATGAGGATGGGCGGAAGCAGAAGACGAGAAGGAGGACAAGAAGGCAGGCATGAAGGAATGACGTACTTGTTCGCATCGGTGAAGGACTTCGGATTGCACGAGGTACCTGCAAGGATGGATGAGAATCAGAGAAAGGGGAACAAGTCGCAAGTAGAAAGGAGAGCATACCCGACTGTCGAAGAGATCCTGGAGATCAAGCCTTTCTTTGCTCCCTTGCAGTCTATCTTGACCTGATCGGTTCATTTCCTTCAGTCTGCACTCACCAGACGAGAGGCCTCGTCACCTGCTTCTGCGATCGCTGGATGAAGGGGATGGCATGGAAGTTCGTCTGGGAAACGATGAAGAAGTTCACGTTGAAAAGCTCCTGCAGCCGATTGATCGAAAGGTCCGAGTTCAGGCTCAGAGCATGCGCTTGCTCTCTATCCCCCCGGGAGTTGCTCCGAGTGGGATCGGAGTTCCCCCATGACCTCGCACAGCTCCCGTCTGGGTCCTTGACAACCAGGCACTTCCCAGGTCGGCTCAAGGGGAAACAGGAGGCAGCTACTGCGCTCCAGAGGAGCACGTTAGGGGATGTAAGGTAGTTAAGGAGGCGGGACTTCTCGAAGTTGCTCTCGGGGGGCACGACGACGTTGACAATCCTCCCCGTCCTCTCGTACGCCTCGTGGAAGGTGACATCCCCCAGCAGGTGGATCAGGAACCTCTCCAGACCATCGCTGTCCCATCTCGACTCCTCCTGCACCAGCAGCCGCATCTTCCCGTACAGGGACCCAGGAGGAAAATCCGGGCTCTGACTCATCGCCGACTCACCGAGGTCAAGGAACATGGTCTCGAGCTCGTCGATGTTGCTTATCCCTACGAGCGCCGTCACAACAGCTCCGAAGCTCGAGCCTGAGATGATGCGGGGCAGCAGGCCCTGCCAGCTCCACCCGTTAGCAGATCAAGAACGCGTCAGGCGCTGGTCTCTTACATGTTCGTAGAGGGCCTTCACCACTCCGAAGTGGTACATGCCGTACCTGGCCAGCAGGTGAGCATGCACAGCAGCCGTCACCGTATTGCACTCACCGCAGCCCACCCGAGAGGAGCAGCGAAGTCTTCCCGAGCGCATGCCGGGACTCGGTGAAGAAGGCAAGGCGAGCCTCTACGGAGATGAGGTCGTCCCTCGCGTTAGCTACCGAGTACATCATCCGGATCAGTTCTCGCTGATGCTTCTCTGTCATTTACAAGTCAGTCAGACACAGACAAGCGCGTCTACACACCGATGAGAAGCTTCGTTCCCAAATGCGAGTACTCGTACAACGACTGGTTTCCTATCCCCACAAAGTTCCTCTGCAGGCCCGAGCGGAGCCACGACACGATGCTTTCGAAGTCCTCGTTCGCTTCTAGGAGCTGCAGCTGTCTCAGTCTCTCTCGGATCAGGGTGTGGTCGTAGTACGACGACTTAGCATCTGCCTTCCATGCATGGCTCCCTTCAAGCCCATCAAGCAGTTCGGCCGCCTGCAGCCAATCCTCGTACTGCCTTGCGGTCTGCAGAGTGTGATAGCAGTGCAGTTTGCTCTGAGTGCATTCTGCCTCTGACAGTTCGCTGCTGGAAGAGATTTGACTCCTCAGCTCTGGGTTTGTATTCATAGATACAAACTCCCAATGTCAATGCTTTCACGTCATCGAATACGGATTCTTGCAAAGGAGCGACGCTACAGTAAAGAATAGCCGGATTCCATTTTGTTCTCGATCACGCCAGGATGCTACTGTAAAACAATACATGTCATAAGACGTGAATCTCAGATTGCACAGATACAACTTTATTTGTTTCCCTTGTTTCTCCGTCATGTTTCCTATCCCGTTCTTTGAATCATCAGTCTACGAGCTGTACTCGTCAGTCTTTCTATCATGCCTGCTTGTCAACACTTAACATATCATCTTCATCGCTTTCCTCTCCTGCTCCCCCCTGCTATGCTCTCCCGCTCTTACCCCTCGCTCTCTTCCCCTACCCCTCCCTCCATTTCGCGATGCTCCCGTCGCATCCTATGTCGCTCTGAACATTCGTAAAACTAGTTTGTATACTAAAAGTGTTATAGGGCCCTTGGTCCCCTACAAAACTTTCCAGAAAAGAACCTTTTCGAAATTTTTAGAACCCAAAAACTTGTGTCACGGGTACATACATTACTTTTAACAGTACCCTACCCCGAGAAATTAGAAATGCATTACCCTCCCCCGTCGTATCCGATGCGACGGTTCTCTACTACCCTCCTTTCCCTGAGCGACAAGGGGCCAAGTACCCTATGTTTGCCAATTAGTGTACCCACCCCTCATACGGACTCCTTGGTCCCCACCCTTCAGGTATCTACAGAACCGCACCCCTACCCCCTGATATTCCAGTACCACCCCTACTGCGTCCCTATCTTTTCAAGCATGGACAGGCGGCCGCCACAATGCCGACCCTTCCTATGACCCCCTATTTTCCCTTCAAACCACCCTGGTAGTACCCTAGAGATATGCGCCCTCACGGCAGGCGCCCGGCGCCGCCCGGGCCGCAGCCCGGAAGCCGGGCCCGGCAGCCCGCCCGGTGGCCGGCAGCCTCAGTTGTCACTGTCACGGCGGGGGCCACTGAGCGGCCTGACCGTACAGGTCGGGCCCGGCCGCCACTGACCCGGTAACAACGTCTGTGACAAGTCCAAGATCAGATGGAACAGCGGCATGATATCAAGTTCAGTCCCGGGATGGGCCAGTACTATACGGTATTTCATATTGTTCAACAGGCCAGCCGGCAGTGTCGCTAAGTCGAAAAGTTTCATCACAATGATCATGTGCCGCGCCAGCAGCTGCTGAGCAGACCTGCCGCAGTGCTCTTACACTGAGCAGGCCCGAGGCTCCCGGGCCACCCGGCGGCCTCACTGGCCCTGACCCGGGCCCTTGCCGGGGCCCGGGGGCGGCGGAGCCGGCCCGGCCCGGGACTCGGAGCGGCACAAAGGGCCGACGGGGCTGTCTTGTCAGAACACAAGTCAGGCTCAGCTAGTTCCTTGATCCTCCTCCAGTACTTGAAAGTTTGCCGCGTGCTGCATCAGCAACCGTTTCAGGTTTGTCGCTCTTCTCTGCGGTGAGTGCCTTCCTTGTCTCTCTCCTCCCGCCCTCGTCTCCGGTCCCTTCCATCCCTGAACTTACCTTTCGCAGCTACGTACCAGGACATCGGCAGCGGATTCTGCAACACTACTCAGGGCTTGTTATGGACAGTCTGCATCCTAGTCAGTACGCTGTTCTCCTACTACGGCAGTGGCCTTTGCCGTTGTCCTGTGTTTCATATGCTGCACTCCCGAGGCATGGGAGGACGAACAAAGAGTAGCAGTGGTCACCGGCTCAAAAGCTCTTCCGATCGCCATTGCGAACGAAGGGACCTATCCAGTAGTGGACCAGGACGCAGTGTAAGGCTCGAAATGTTCTGATTTGCACTCTGCATAGCAGTCTTTGAAAGAGAACTCTCGACGCTCTCTGTACAGATTCTGTCCTGCAACTTATGCAAGTCACCGATGAATGATGTGTAGAATAGATTCGTTGAGTGATGGTTAGACAACAAACATTCATCTGACAAGAGAACGTATCTCCCTGCTACTAAGGAATGTGCGGTGTCATCTGCAGGGTCAACCGTGAGGGTCTGATTGCGATCCATCAAGTGCTACATTCAGGCTATCTCTAAAACAATGAAACTCAAGAAATTCTCTGTCTCAAGGTAGCATTGAGACTTCAACCTACTCACTTACTTTCAAACTTCTTCTCTTCTTTTCCAAGTGCACAACATTCTTCAGACCAATACTGGCACAGAAGTTTGTTGACAGGTAGGAATGATGCACCTCTCCCCTCCTCATCATTGCTTTCCTTGCTGCCTTCTGCCAATTATTCAGCATCACCTGATTCCTTTTGCTTTCGTTCTGGTCTTGATCGTCATCCTCGTAATCTTTGTTTTCACGTTTCCCCTTCTGCAGCAATTTCGCTTGCAACTCAATCCCTCAAAAGTGTAATCATTGACGGTTGATCATGGTTCGATCTGTGTTTGTAACTTTATTTCTTCAATTACAAACCAGGTATGATAGATCCATGTTCTATTCTTACTTCATTTTCATAACAACATACGCAAGGAGTTGTTCATGAACAGAGACGTATCGTTCTCCAACACGGCGTTTTCTGTCTTCCCTTAATTTTCTCACTCAGCATGTCTTTCTCATCATATTTCTTACATCATTTGTCTCGTCTCGTTGTATCATACTCGCACATCTTCAAATTAACTTCCGCATTTTTCGGTGTCCCGACCGCTGTGACCCCTACCCCTCCATTTATTCGGTAATACCACCGGTGCACCCAATTCATTAGACCCCTACCGCCAGACCTGAAATGTAGGGTGGGGTTGTTGTGACGTTTTGCATTTGAATTCGAGTTGGCGTGTAGGAGCAAGTGGAGAGAAGAAGCGAGGAAGAGAGAGGAACAAGAGAGAGGAGGAAGAGGAGAGAGGAGGTTGGGGCCATCAGCAAGTAGAGAAGACAACATGCTGTCATCTCCTTCAGCACAGAAGAACTTGCGGAACCGCAGGCAGTCCAAGCCGAGGATGCCATTGCAGGCGAGGGACGTGAATGTGACCTTTGAGACGGAGAAGTTCTCCTTCAAGGACAAGCAGTCCCCAGCTGTTAACAAGCAGCTCACGAGCAGCAAACGACACGAGCGACTGATGTTTGACGACAACACGAGTGCGAGCCCGACGAAACGACCAAGAGTGCTGTACCGCGATGACAAGTATGCTTGCTGTGTTACTTGTCGAGTAGCACTAACACTCCTCTCCCTCCCCCTCGTCGTCCTCACCTTCAAATCCTTCCCTCCTTGTTTCTTGCAAGCAGAGACTTCAGGAGGAACATCACGCAGACAAGAATGCTTGCTGAGCTCAAGGCAAAGTTGCGAGAGCGAGAGCACATGAGGGAGGCGTCTTTCAACATGACGGTAGACGTGGAGTGCTTGCGAGCCAAGACCATGACAGATGTTAGGATGCTCTCCGTGATCTGAGAGATACTTTCTTGGAGTGGATCTCGACTATCAAGAATGTCACGACAGGTAGGAGAGTAGAGAAGGAATGGATGATGATGGAGTAGATGATTGAGAGATGGAGACCGAGGTGACAATGGTGGTGCTTATGGAGATGATGATAATGATGATGATGAATGCCACCGCAAAGATCTTTGCAAGAGCCTGCTTTTGTCCTGGATCTGGTGATTCCGATGTTGTCGTCGATGATCATGGCGGAAGAACTAGTTCACTCAATCGCTCACTATCTCTCAATCAGAGGTCTTCAACATGGAGGACGAGACCTCCTCGGAGGACAATGAGGATGACTGGCAGGAATACAGTCATACCACTGAGACAGGTAGCTTGGCGCCTCCCCTCCCCTCCTCTCCTCTCCTCTCCTCTCCTCTCCTCTCCTCTCCTCTCCTCTCCTCTCCTCTCCTCTCCTCTCCTCTCCTCTCCTCTCCTCTCCTCCCCCCTGTGTTGCTCTACCTCCTCTTCGGCTCAATTTCTTACAGCAGACAAGGAAGAAAAGAACGAAAGATCTGTAGATTCGAAGCCTCAAGTAAGGATCAAACCAATCTTCCATCCTCTCCTTCTCCCTCTCACAATTACTCTTGTTCATGCTCCCTCCTCCCTTCTGCTGGGCTTCGTTAACATGTAGAGCAAGAGCAAGCCGCGGACTTCCACGTCTGCTGCTCTCGAGTCGCTCATGAGGTCATTCCATCTCGTCTCCTTCCTCCTCCTTGACCTCCTGCCAGGTCTCCTCCTGGCTCCCAAGGCAAGCTGAGGAGAATCTCTGGCAAGATGTGCAGGGCCGGGGGAAGCAGCGGTACGAGCTACACTCAGTTACCACCACCACCACCACCACCACCACCTCCTCCTCCTCCTCCCCCAATAAGCTTAGGGGTGGAGGTGGGTATCAAGAA